TAGGACCCACCAGTACTGAAGAGAGGGAAGAGGCAGAAAATATGGGACAATTTGCCCGTTTTTTAAAAAAGGTAGTGACACCTGCAGGAGGGCCTAAATGTGGGCCTGTCCCTTTAAAAAAGGGTCATCCTATCCCTGGGCAGTTCAGGAACTAGCATGGGAGGGGGGGCAGGCTGGCACTCACAGCAGGGGCCCAGCTGCAGTGGTGGGGGAAGTGGAGCGATGCAGCCCCACTGCTCTCCCCGCTGCATCGCTCATTCCCCTTGGGGCACCTAGCACTGGCCACTGTCAGAAGGCCGGCTGCTGAGCTAAACTGACCATTGGTCTGACCTAGCATAGCCATTCTCACATTCAGGACATAGGCTGAGTTTCACAGCAAATTAGTTTTCTGCCACACCACAAGAAAGGCATATAAAATATGTAGATTATAGACTTGGTGAATGGGGGCCAAGCATGGTGCCCTAGTTCCTACCCCAGAAGTGACTAGTGATTTTGGGTACCTCAGTTGTTGAATGAGCCTGGTTTTCCAGCAGAGTTGAGCACCCCCCTCTGAAGGGTGTGTGAGGTTAGACACCCCCCATCATTAGTCACTTCTGGAAAATGGGGCAGCCTTGAATATCAGTCATAATCACAAAATCAGAGGCCTCACGAAGCTCGTTTATGGAGCTAGAAATGATGACATTTCATGCTCCCTTTTCTTCCTTGCACCCTGAACTTACACACACATGGTTAGATTACACGCCTTGGCTTAATATTGGGTCTTGCTAACAGACAGCTGCAAACTGGCAGAAAGATGCACAATGAGCACGGGTTATATAAATAAGAAGAGAAAATGAACAGAATAACAAACTAACAAACAACAAATTTTACCATTCCAGCTCTGGAGAGACCGTATGTTCTCACCTCAGTCAACTGACAACTAACTTTATTTGTGATGAGGAGGAACTGAGTATAAATGTCATCCTGGCCATGCAGTGCACCAGCTAATGTATCCCATTATTGAAACTGTATACTCACTTGCTTCTTTTTGGTGCCTTTTCTTTCCCAAACAGAGTTCTAGAGGAACATGAGGATCTCTCATTAAGACATATGAAGTTTCACACATACACAGAGGATTCCTTTTTAATTAATTAGTCACATAAAGTCACTCCTCATGGCACACCCTTAGCTGGTTTATTTAGGAGTGGGCAGGATGGAGAGAATGTTCTATGCTGTAAACCAGTGGTTTTCAACCTTTTTCATTTGTGGACCCCTAAAAATGTTCAAATGGGGGCACAGAACCCTTTGGAAAGCTTAGAAATAGTCTGTGGATCGCTGAGGACTGCAGTTGACAGGTTGAAAATCACTCCTGTAAATCATAATTTGCCCAAAGCTGAAAGTTTCCCCTTCTCTGTGTAAATGTAGTTCCAGCCAGCAGAGGGTAGCCTTCCAATGAGGAGAATAAGGTGAGTGTGTTTGGGATTGTACATGTGCCCAGAAAACATGTTTCAAAAGATTAAATCATATCTGTGCCAACTATGAACTCTTTTAAAGTTGGCTTTAGAGTAATTAATATATTTGTGCAAAGCTTCCTTTTACTTCTCCTTGTCTTCAGTGCTGCCTGATCCCATTGTGAGTTTATCGCATGTAAAGGACAGTTTCACCAGCTACTATTCTGTTATCTCAGTTCTTATCAAAACATAAACAAGACATTAGAGAAAAAAATTAAAAGCTTCTGGATCAGATTAGTAGCCAAAACTGATTACAGATTGGGAGATTTGTTTTGGTCTGTGTGACATATCCAGATAATAAATTACTATTATTTCACTGTTATAACCTAAGAAATGTAGGTAGGTATATATCTCAATAAGCTTATTCTGATGTGCAGTAAGTAGAACAAATTTTGTATAGTTTATCATGGGATGCTAAATCACTGCATGTCACTTCTTTCCATATGGGGGAATCATCTTAAAAAATTGTCTGATGGAAACATGAGTCTATTCTACAAAGCTAGTGGATGTTCCTTAATTGTGAAACCAAAAATAGGCACCATGCCAAATATAGGTAATATCTTTTACTGGACTAATCCCTGTTGGTGGAAGGTACAGGCTTTCAAGCTCTTCCTCAGGCCTGGAGAAGGTAACCAGAGTGCTTAATAAAAGACATTACCTCACCTACCTTGTCTCTCTCATATCCTGGGGCCAACTGAGCTACAAAATAACACTTTACTCAAGTATGTCAGAACAGCGCTGCACATTTTTTTACTCATAGAAAATATTGCTCCACTAGGCAGGATAGGAACTTCCAGAAAGTGTTTTGTAAATGATTGGGTGTGATAATGGCATTACAATTGCTTTGGGAATGGAAACACTGGCTCCCCAAAATACTGAAACACTTGCAGACACATTTTCCTATCTGCAATAGACATTCATGCCTTAAGGAAATCCTGGTGAAAGAACTGTCTTGTTCAGAGTGTACATGAATCATCTCCTAATAAGCAAGTCATATTTTGGAAGAGTTCAGCATTCAAAGGTGGTACTTGTAATAGTCTGTAAAATGAAAATAAATGCTGGAACATACAGTGTGAAATCCTATGACCAGACTAATCTCAATTACATTTTGAAAGGAAGAAAGTTTTTCCATGGGGCTGTGACAAAAAAATAAAATAAAAACCTACCTCAATACAAATTACAGAAATGAGCTAAATTATAGTTACCATTGTGCCAAATTACCTCAGTCACTTTTCTTAGTCATGAAACTTGTTAAAACACAGAACTAACAAAACTCCAGTTTAAGAGCTACTGAAGCCTTCAGTGCAATTAAAACATAATATGTATATATTAGTCTGTCATTGACACTGAACAGTGAGGCCAGTGGCTGAATAAAATTTCACTCACTCTGTCCCTTCTCCACTAATTTGAAGACTATGTATAAGAAGAGATGTGCTGGAAACAGATTTTGATACTAGCAAGCCAGAGGCATCTGCCAAAATATACAGAAGACACAGCAGGCATTTTGGCACATGTATTAGAGTGACAAAAAAGAAATAGAATTATATTTATATTTTTACCAATCAGTGCAATTTATTTAGAAGATTTTTCTGTCTGCTTTCCCACCTACTCCCATCCATTTTTCCCTTGCTATAAAATTAGTTTTGGTTTTCATCACACAGGACCAGACTGTGTTATGGCAGATTATGGACCATTTCTCTGAAGTAGCAAATTGTAACTGATGACACATATGGTCACTGTTATTAACCAACCGGAGTAATACATTATAGTTGCCCAAACACTGTTCCCTATGGTAGTGGTTCTCAACTGGGGTACACAGAGGTCTTCCAGGGGGTACATCAGCTCATCTAGAGATTTGCTTACTTTTACACCAAGCAGGGAAAAAACTGGCAAAGTCAGTCCCTGTACAAACTAAAATTTTGTACGACTTGTTTATAATGCTTTATGTATTCTACACTAAAATGAGAGTACAATATTTATACTCCAGTTGGAAAGGTTGAGAGCCACTCCCGTGTGGAACACTGCAAACAAATCTCAACTCAAGGTATCGCCCACCCTCAGAAAAAGACTTAGGCTACATCTACACTGCGGAGCTATTTCAGGATACCTCTGGTATCCCAAAATAGCTATTCCACAACTTAAGAGCCAAGCCCATTATATCGAAATATAATGAACTTGCTATTCCGACATCCCTGTAAACCTCATTGCACAAGAGACGTTTCAGAATAGTGCTTTATTTTGAAATTACCTCAAAATAAGCTACGCAATTTGCGTAGCGCAATTAATTGCGTACCTTATTTCAAGGTCAGGGTGCTATGTAGAAACACCCTTATAATGTCCCCTGTTGCAGCAAGAGCTTAAAACACAGATAATGAAATATCTTTCTTTTAAGAAATGTATTATCAGTAGACCTGCAGCCATTCATTGCAGAGCTCAGCATCATAAGTTCTCACCTAGGAGAATTTTCTCCATCTGCTGACAATTGTGAATGTCTCCTGGGTGTCACCCAGTGTGAAATAAATCAAACATAATTTTTATCAGCTATTTTCTCATAAGATGCTCTGCTAGTCCCTGTTTCTATTTCTATACTGTGCACAATGCCAGTTCTACTAAGTATGTTTTTTCTTCTCTTTCAAAATTAACAGCTAATGATGAATGATAGTTGAATCAGAAACAGAACATCCAACAAATGCTGACACTATAGTTTCAGGAATTGGATAATTTCTGTTCGCAATCAGTATTAGTCAGAAATCAAGGACAAATGTGACCCTACTTTTTGTTCGCTAGATATATTTCCGGAGGGGGGGTTCGCCAAGGTGCATTCCTGTTCTCGTAGATAAAAGTTAAACACTAATTTCTACCCAATGAAATTGCCTTATGCTTCCTAAAAATGTGTGAACAAAACTGAAGGCAGGCAAAATCGGTGGAGAAAAGACAACTGTCATGAAAGAATTCCCTGCATTCTATTTAAATCTCCTGGCTTGTTTCTTTCTGATAACCTCCTGTCAATGATTTCATTCTTCCTACAAAAAAACTGTCCCGGATGAAAGATCCCACGCCTGTTTTTCAATTAGGAAATGTGATACTAACATGGATTCAGCATCCTATTATAGACTGAAATTACTCTTCTACTTTGTCCATATAAGCCATGTCTGATCATTAGAGCTTAGTGAGATTTTGTCTCTCTCCTCCAACACAAGGGTAAAGAGGCAGCTTAGTAATACTTTTAACACATCTTGTCCAGGCAGCTTGGATATCTTTAGCCCAATGCCCTTTGTCCACCCCCTGGCTCATTCTGATCCACAGAGCAGTGTTTTGCTAGAGGCATTTGCATATTTTTGGCAGCAGGCAGTTTACAGCCTGCAAAAGTCCTGGGCACAGCGGCTCCCCTTTAAGCAAGTCACAGCCCCAGAAGGAACTGTCCCCTTCTAGCTCTGTGCAGAGCCAGGCCGGTTGGCGCTTGCACTCTGTTCAAAAACCTTCCTGGCCAGGGTCGCTTTGCGTACTTACCACCGCCTCACATGCAAGGTGTATAGCTAAGCGCCCGTCTCTGCAGGATCAGGCAGGTGAAGGGTTTGGTCCCATAACTCCAAGCTTCTCTGCTGGAATCTCTCGCAGACTCAAAGCTGCCTCCTGCGATGCTCCCGGGGAAATGCCGCTACCCACACTTGGGGGAGTCCACTCGCATCTCCCTGGCGCTGCCCAACGCACAACTCTCCAGCATTGGCGAGGGGCTTTCGGGGGAAGGGAAGGAGGTTTGGAAGTGTCTCCTTTGCAGGTGTCGCCCACGAGCCCTCCCTCCGGCTCCTGCTGCTGCTACCGAGCCTCTGCAGTTTGCAAAAAAATGGGACGAAAAAAAAAAACTTTCCTGCCAACAGCAACTAGCGCCTCAGCGGCGCAGGCGCCATGTGACCCAACCCACCCGCACTCCGGATTGCTGGAGCTAGCAGGAGGCTGGCCTGGCGGTGCAGCGCCCCCCTCCCCGTACACCCCCTCGCTGCACAAAGAGGGGCCCGCCCCGGTCCTGCACAGCGCCGGCCCGTAGGGAGAGTTGCGAAGGCGCCACGCAGGGCGGCTGCCCGCCTTCGAAGCTGGGATTTCTTGTGGGGAAAAGCCTCTTCCCGCCCCCCTTCCAAAGCCCCGCGGGGCTGCAGTTGCTTTCCCGGCCCCGCAGGGGGTGGCCAATGCCTAATCTGCGTCGGGGTCTCGTCCTGCGTGCGCCTGGCTCGCCCGTGGGAAAGTGGATCGCAAAGTTCTCAGCAGACAGCTCAGTGCGGGATGGTTTGCAAGGTGCCACCTGCCCCGTCCATTGGGGCATTGACTAGGCAAAGCTTTGACAGACGGTAAAAAGGCAGGGATCCGTCCTAGAGAAGCCTGTGATCTTAATAAACTAGATGGGAAAACAACTGATTCCCCCTAACTAGCCCCCTGTAGGAATTTCACACCCATACGTTAGCACATTGAATCCTACACTTATGGTCTAAAGCACAATTTACAATAGTGAGGCTGCAGTGTGCACAGCTGTTAGTTTACAGTTGTTATATTACATGGCTTAATGAAGGATGTTACAAATGAAAAGTATAGGCCTTCTCATCTAACAAGAGTTAGATGGTCAATTCAAAGAAAGGGCAGGATGAGCAGGTACTCACACCAATAAAGGGGGCTGGAGCAGACTTTAAGGTGTAAATATGAATTTTAGGGACAAAATTCCTCTGAAGTCAATCGGAGTTAGCCACTGCCTTCAGTGTGGCCAGGATTTCTGCCAATGTACAAATTTTACTTATTCATAGAATCCTAGGGCTGGAAGAGACCTCAGGAGATGCAGTCCAACCCCCTGCCCTCTTATTCAGTTTAATAAGGAAGATTCTGAGCCGGAAATGCTTTCACACATGTGTAACCTAACCCATTCAAGTAAGTAACATCAGTGGGGCTCTTCAATCATGTGTGCTAATTTGGTCACATGAATGTTTGCAGGTTAAGAGTCCAAAAGCATTTTGTCCCACAGTTTGACAGAGTATCCCACCGCTATTGTCACGTTATGCAAATATAGGAATCTAATTATTTGAATGAGATATTATGTCTGTGTCCATGTTTGTTGAATCTATATAGTGATATCTGGCAGGAAGAGAAAAGAAGCGCCAAGAAAAATAGCTACAAATACAGAGGCCAAAATCCTGCAGATTTGAAGGGAAAATTGCTATTGGTTTTGCCAGAATTCCCTGCTGATTTCCATTAGCCCATGCAGTAAGTATAAATTCTTCAGGGATCAATTTGTGTGCTGACTCAAGCCTTCTCTCTAATTCTAATTTTACAAAGAACTTGTAAAGCTTGAAGCGCAGAGACAAGTAAACCAAATAAGCCAGAAATTGCTTTTCCATGTGGGTACTCTTAGGAGCTGAAATGACACTAGAACCTTAGTCCAAGGAATATATAGTTCCTTTTTGCTTTAATTTACTTTGATTTTGTATTATTAAAAAAAAATCAGTCCCAGATTCTAGGTGCCCTGTCAGCTAATGACCTGTTTGAAGTCACAAAAGGATTTTAAAGTGAAGGCTGGAAAGAGCAAGGGGACAACACCATTAGAAATACATATTAATTGTGCATTACACCACTTTGTTTGGCATCAGTATGGTCCTTGCTTCCCTAAAATGTCTAATTACAGCATCACATAGAGATTTCCAAAGATCAATCCGAAGCAGCTCCAGCAGAAACCCAAGGTAACGTAGCAGCAGGCACACAAAGGCAAACAGGGAAGTGCATTTGGTATTAAATCAGGTAATGCTAGGTCAGAGGAAAATTGGCATTTCCCATGTGCAGTGATTAGCAAACCCCAGAAGTGTCATTAGTCAGCTCCGCTTTAGACAAGGGTTAACAAGTCGAACCATGATATGGTCCTAGAGTGATACTGATGACAAATTAATCACTATCCCCTCCTGGGGAGAGTTCAGTGGGGCTTCATAACTTTTCTGGGCCTTGTGGCTAGAATGCTCAAACTCCCATATGCTCCCTAATAAAAGATATGAAGTCCCACAGCTATAGGGTTCTTGGCAGCAGACTCAGTGAAGCAGGAAAAAATAACCTTTGCTCTTCTGCATGTATGAAGGAATATATTCAGTTGCCTTGGGAGGAGGCAAAATCTTATGACAGTGTGTCATGCTGCAACAATTTTCTGATGAAGTTCTTGAGATCCACGGAACAGCCAACAAGTGCACTGCTCCCGGTCACCCATAACTCTGCAAGCCTTCCTCTTCTGGGGACCAGATCTCATTATGGCTACGTCTAGATTGCATCCTTTTTTCGTAAAAGGGATGCAAATTAGACGTATCACAATTGCTAATGAAGTGGGGATTTAAATCTCCCCCGCTTCATTAGCATAAAAATGGCGGCCGCTTTTTTTCGGCATGGAGCTTTGCCGGAAAAAAGTGCCAGTCTAGACGCTGATCTTTTGGAAATTAAAGCCTTTTCTGATAGATCCCTTAAAGACTTTATTTTTCGAAAGATCCGCGTCTGGACTGGTGCTTTTTTCCGGCAAAGCTCCGTGCCGAACAAAAGCGGCAGCCATTTTTATGCTAATGAAGCGGGGGAGATTTAAATCCCCGCTTCATTAGCAATTGCGATACATCTAATTTGCATCTCCCATCCCCTGCCTATTGGATCTTGCCCTGCCACCTTTTCTACATCACAATTGACAGACACTTATGGCCACGCCTGAGGCAGAGGGCTTGTCTACATGGTGAGTTACCGAGAGTTCAGGCGGGGTGTGAATCTACAGCACACTAGCCCGCCACGCAGTGACAGCCCACATGGGCACAGCAAGAGTGTGGGCAAAGTTCTAGAGGGCAGCCGGGAGTAGTAGTCAGTGTGACCAAGAGACCCACTAATCTGTGCCAACAACTCACCAGGCCTGAGAGACTCACTACACCTAACCCACTGCTGTGGTGCTATAGACCCAAAAGTTGGCATGTTCTATATCACTGGGAACCTAGTAAGTCACTTATCCTTAATATGATGTATGTATGAGTTATGTACAAAACATTATGCTCCTTCAGTGTGTTTGGCAGGCACAATCCGCCCTAGACAAAAGACTAGGCATTTGCTTGGTTGACCAGCCTCACAGTCAGGCAGAAACAATAAAGATGCATTTGCATAAAAGGTAAACAAAACCCTCAAGCTATCAAGGGTAGGCGGTAACGACTCAATTACACCGGCAGGGGAGGAACTAGCATGAAGTCTACATCAGCCATCTCTTCCCAGCAGGAGCTTTTTCCATTAATAAATTTCAGTGTCTTGCTGGATTATGCAGACAGGGTGTGAATCTAAAAGGATAAGTAGTTAAATCAACTGATTGTGTATGTTCTTACCCAGCAGGCACCAGCGGATGACCATATACATGCCAACAATGTTAATTATTTCACTGTGGATCAACATCTGCTGGAAAGGGGAGGGTTGATCATTTTAGGAAGATCTGCACAACCTACTCAGAATTCAACCCATTTTGGCAGGTGTCAGCCGGGCCTCCTCTCCAGTACATGCAAACCACTGTATGAATGCAATGTTCAAACTCCACAGCATGGAGCCTCGGTGATCAGGCAGTGAAAAAAACCCGGGGCTCAGTTCTCCAGTATATTATTACCCTATTCTGGGTTACTCACACACTCTGGCTACGTCTACACTGGCCCCTTTTCCGGAAGGGGCATGTAAATTTCATGAGGCGTAGTAGGGAAATGCGCGGGGGATTTAAATATCCCCCGCGGCATTTAAATAAAAATGTCCGCCGCTTTTTTCCGGCTTTTAAAAAAGCCGGAAAAGAGCGTCTACACTGGCCCCGATCCTCCGGAAAAAGCGCCCTTTGAAGTAGGAATAAGAGCCCCCGGAAAAAGCGCCCTTTTCCGGAGGATCGGGGCCAGTGTAGACGCTCTTTTCCGGCTTTTCTAAAAGCCGGAAAAAAGCGGCGGACATTTTTATTTAAATGCCGCGGGGGATATTTAAATCCCCCGCGCATTTCCCTACTACGATGGCTGAAATTAACATGCCCCGTCCGGAAAAGGGGCCAATGTAGACGTAGCCTATCCCTTTTTTAATGATTTTGACTGCCGCTGCACACTGAGTGGATGTTTTCTGAGAACTATCCACAATGACTCTAAGATCTTTCTCTTGAGTACTTGTAGCCAAATTAGTCCCCATCATATTGTATATATTGCTGGGATTATGTTTTCCAATGTGCATTACTTTACATTTATCAACATTAAATGTCATTTGCCATTTTGCTGCCCAATCACTTAGTTTGGTGAGATCTCTTTGAAGCTCTTCACAGTCTGCTTTGGCCTTAACTATCTTGAGCAGTGTGGATTGACAGATGCTATAGCAAAATTTCAGATTGATAGATATAGACAGACTGATAATATGAGTAGTAGATTAAACCACTCTTGCTAGAATCTATAGAGCTCTTCCTGAGGAGTGAAGCCACAAGTAAAGTGTGATGGCGAAGTAGCTTTTAATTAAAGTTGATCTTGAGGCAATTAGTTCCCATAGTTGTTATTGCCAGTCACTTTTGAATAAAATCTTCCTCAATTTTAGCTTTATAATTATTTTTAATAAATGCTGACATTGAACCATAAACCCACAGGGTATGTCTACACTACAGAGTTAGTTCGAACTAACTTAGTTCGAATTAGTTAATTCGAACTAAGCTAATTCAAACTAACACGTCTAGAACTAAAAACTAGTTCGAATTAGCGTTTTGCTAATTCGAACTAGCATGTCCACATTAAGTGGACCCTGAACAGGGCTTAAGGATGGCCGGAAGCAGTGCCGGCAGGGCATCAGAGGAGGACTTAGAGCGTGGAGATGCTGTCTCAGGCTAGCCGAGGGCTGTGCTTAAAGGGACCCGACCCCCACCCCGGACAGACAGTTCTAAGGGGTGCCCCGCTTGAAAACCAGTCCTGGATTG